CGCCCAACTCCGTACCTGCCGCGCGCGGCTCCCCGCCGCCTCCGCGTGGCTGCCGGAGACACTCGGCGCGACCAGCGGCGGGCGCGGGTCCCCACGGGGCGAGGGCGGCGCGCAAGACTGTCCCGGGCGCCCCGTGCCGCCTGCGCTGCCGCCACCCGGGGGCTGCGCGGAAACTTTGGGCTCCACCGGGTCTCCGAGCACCGAGCCCACCCGGCCGCAGCTCGTTTCCCTCTCTGCCTCCTCCCGGCCTCCCCACCCCCTCGATGGGCTTTAAACTCGCCCGGCCCCGCCCGCCCTCCCCGCCTCTGCCGCCGCCGCCTCCGCCTCCGCCTCCTCCCCCGGCCACTTTTCCTGCTCCTCCTCCCGCCGCCACCGCCCGGACCGCTCGGCGGCCGCCAGCGCGGGAGGAGCCGGGGCCTGGGCGCAGGGCGTGGCGCGGGGGCGCGGGCCGGGCGGCCTGGGGGCCAGACGCTCCCGGAGGCTTTTGCCCCGGGCTACTGAGCAGGGCCCCTCCTCCTCCTCCTCCTCCTTCTCTCCTCGGGACTCCGGCGCGGGACCACGACCGCCGCGGCTCAGGCGGCTTCGCCGGTGAAAGACAAATTGGACCTGTCCCGAAAGACAATTTGTAAGCGAACTATTTGAAACGCACAAAATAGTAACTGCGCAGTCCAGATCCTTTATCCTGGGCGCAGCAGTACGGGACGGAAGAGCTGGGGCTGCCCCGGACTCTGTCGTGGGCTGAAGGGAACCGGCCTGAGAAAAGGAAACCTGGGTTTGCTCACTGCCAGCCAGGTCTGGGGCCTCACCTCTCTGAGCCTCAGTTTGCCCCATCTGCGTATAAGTATCCGAGTGCGGGTGGAGTGAGAGGCCCTTCATTTTTTCTTAATGCTGCCGAGCCTGGTGTCCTTATCTTTACGATGGGCTAGTAACGCCCGCCTGAGGGTTGGTGTCCTGGGGATTAAATGAGGTCATACTGGGAACATAAAGTGACTGCGAAAAATACTCCCCTCGCCCCCAATTGACGGAAGCCATTGTCATTAGTGTGATTCTTAATATCTCTACCGAGTCAAAACTATAATACACATAGCATAACGATAATTATGTCTTTTCCTGGGTCTTGGTGTTCGAAACGCAGCTACAACGATATCTTGCCTTCATAGAGCATGCAATTTGTTCAAAACCTTCATGAATCCTTGCATGTAACCCCCACTGTGGCCCTCTAGGTCGTCACTGTTAGAGTCCCACTGTATGGACTGGGAAACTGAATCTTGGAGAGGTTAAGTAACTTGCTGAAGGTCAAGTAGCTGGTAAGTGCAGAGCAAGGATTGGAAGCCATGTACAGTATTGTGCCAAAGCCCCTTGTAGGTCCCTTTTTATAGCTCCTGCTTCTAGCAGGAGTTACTCCATCTTAGACAGATGTTACTCATGGAAAGGTCATCCTTCCCTGTAACTGAAACAGACTTCCCTAAAATTTTTGCCTATTGGTCCAAGCTCAGAAACACATAAGATGAAAATCAAGAGAGGATGATGTCAAAGGATTTTAGACTCCTAGAAGAAAGGAGCACAGAGGACTCCTGTTGCAGACAAAGGACTCAAAAGAAAATTAAAGAAGAGGAAACTCGGTTTGAGCCAACTTCTCACAAACGCATCAGCTTTGAACCTTCTAGCTTTTGCTGAAGGTCCAATCAGCAATCCATGCCTACACCAGTCAGATAGCCTGATAGGCAAGGAGGTTTTAATAGAGGTTTCAAAAGTTCCTTGATACATGGACATAATGTTCTTTCAGAATCACTTATGGGTAAATTCCATACACCATGGCCCCTTTACCCCTAAATACACTGATGTGTCTTTCCTAAGAATAGAGATACTATTGTACATAACCACAATAGTCACCAAATTCGTAAATTTATATTGATAAAATACTTGTATCCAATCTGGGTCCATATTCCGGTTTAGCCAGTTGATCCAACGATGTCTTCCATAGTATTTCTTTCTCTTTGTTGTAAGATCTGCTATTGAGGTCTAGAGTCAGGTATTGCATTTAGTTGTCTCAAAATGTATGGGTTTTCAGACATTACTATTCACAGAGAAGTGATCAAGATAAATGTCCTCAAGTGTTTTCCTGCTGGCATAGGTCTCTAGAATTCCTAGGACAGGCCCTCATTCCCTACATTTCCTGGCTCTCTGTAGACATCAGTGGGCAGAACCCATTCGGGGCCACTTTCTGATGCAAGTTCATGAACTTGTCACTCTTGTGGCTGCAGAAGCTGCAGCTGTCCTCTGTGCAGTGATCCTGGATGAGCCAATCCTGTATACAGATTGTATCTTATAGCTTTCCCTTCCCCCAAACTCTAAATGCCCCTGCCCACACACTATGCTCCCTCTCAACAGAGTGGCAGCCACAGTGGAATCTAGCCATGCAGCCTATATGTTATCCTGGAGAGCCCAGCCTACTGGGCAAGGCAGGGAGGCTTGTAGTTCAAGCACTTCCCCAAGGGGAAACATATAAGCTAGAATTAGGTGTCAGGACACAGGATTCCGTGATAGTGAGAAATTCAATTATCTAAACATGAGCTAGAAGGCTCCTTCAGCTGAAAGGAGAGAATCTGATAGACTCTAATTTTTAATTAGTAATGAATTGATTAACATCTGTCTTCCCCTGTTGACTGTAAGCATGGTGACTGTGGCAACTGTGTGCCCCTTCACTAGTGTCCTTCCAGCAGGGGGAGTGCCTGGGACAGAGAGGGCACTAAGTGAATTGTCATTACTGGGGAATAGTGTCCTGTGAATTAATTTCTCAGGAGCCTCTGAGACCTGGGCACTGCCTCAAACATTGCCAGTAACCTTGGCAAAGGGAAAGTAGGGTGAATGGCACCCTGACAGCTAACTGCTTTGAGCAGCAATGGCCCTCGCCTCTGCTCTCATGAGCCACTGCTAGTCTCACAGCCCAGCCACCATCCCATGTGGCCCATGCAGACATGCGAGCACGTGTCTGGAAGCAGCCGCCTGCCCACCCCTGCAATGGGCAGGGGGTAGCGTATAGTAATAATATAATCATAGCTCCTGCCCCAGAATACCTGAGGAGCCTGCTTGTGCTACAGATCCCTGGGCCCACCCAAGCCCTGGAGAGTTCACACCTCCAGGGTTGATCTGCATTTCTTTCTTTTTTTTTTTTTTGAGGTGGAATCTCGTTCTGTCGCCCAGCCTGGAGTGCAGTGGCTCGATCTCAGCTCACTGCAAGCTCCGCCTCCCAGGTTTCACATCATTCTCCTGCCTCAGCCTCCTGAGTAGCTGGGACTACAGGTGCCCGCCACCACGCCCAGCTAATTGTTTTGTATTGTTTTAGTAGAGACTGGGTTTCACCATGTTAGCCAGGATGGTCTCGATCTCCTGACCTCATGATCCACCTGCCTCTGCCTCCCAAAGTCCTGGGATTACAGGCGTGAGCCGCTGTGCTAGGCCCATTTTTAATAGACTCCTGCACGATCTACATGCACACCAGTATTCCAAACCTAAACGAGAGGGACAGGCCACCCTGGAGTCGAGGTGGGGATCCTGACGGCATTCAAGGAAGGCTTCCCAGTGGTTGCCCCCATGGAACCCTGGAACATCGAAGATGGTAAGTTAGGCAAAGAGAACTAAAGAAAAGGCCTTTGGGATTGAGGGACAGGCGTGTTTCTCAGACCAAACCCGTGGTCTGACTCCCTCAGGGCGCAGTACCAAGTAGTTGCATTTAGTCACAGAATGTTGCTGCTGGGTCTAGGGTTAGAGTTTTGACAAGACACCAAGCTGGAGGGGTAAGAAGGGACTTATTTGTCAGATTTATATTTAACCGTTTATACATATTTGTCAAGCATAGGCTTATTCATATATAGTGATGAGAGCTCCAGATCTGTCTGTTATGGCGCCTACCAGCACAGTGCCCCCCAGCTAGCTCTGCTCTGTCTAGAGGTTCCCCACAACCCTGGTTTTCCTTGATTCCTAAGTACCAATTAAATTGGTCAAGGATGACACTTGGCCCAAAGATTCCCATTCTGTAGGTAGGTTGGCCAGTGGGCGGAAGGATGACCCAACCAATCAGAAGCCTGCACCTGGGATTCTGAACCTGAGGTACTGGTGGGATCTGCACAATGGAGACCAGGTGAGGAACAGCTAGTTGGGATCAGCATAAGGATGGTGTGAAGTACAAAGACCCAAATAGATGCCCTCGTGCCTTCTGTCTGTCTGGACCCAGGCTGGTACAGCTATTGTTTTGAACGTCCATAAAATTCCATTTTCCGTTGTTTTGTTTTGTTTTGTTTTGTTTTTGGTGGGGGGTTGAGGGCTGTAGGGACAGAGTCTGGCACTGTCGCCTAGGCTAGAGTGCAGTGGTGCAATCTCCGCTCACTGCAACCTCCACCTCCCAGGTTCAAGCAATTCTCATGTCTCAGCCTCCCGAGTAGCTGGGATTACAGGCATGCGCCACTATGCCCAGCTAATTTTTTATATTTGTAGTACAGACAGGGTTTCACCATGTTGGCCAGGCTGGTCTTGAACTCCTAACCTCAGGTAATCCACCTGCCTCAGCCTCCCAGAGTGCTGGGATTACAAGTGTGAGTCGCCGCACCTGGCCCCATTTTCCTTATATTGTCTTAATATCAACTCTTCTTTTCTGAAGTTGCTTGGATCAAAATGTCTTTATAACCAGAGCAGAGGCTCACAGAAGGGTGTTTGTTCAGGCTGGTTACTTAGGTATAATTTGCTGACCAGAAAATTTATCCTTTTTTAATGTGCATTTTGTGGAGTTTGGAAAGGTATATAGTTGTGGAACCAGTAAAGACATTAATACAAAGAGTTTTGACCCCAAAAAGTTTTCTCATGCTCCTTGTCAGTCCCCCTCCCTACTCCAGGCAACTGATCCTCTCCCATTTCTTAGGTTTTGCTTTTCTTTTATCTTTTTTTTTTTTTTTGTAGAGGTGGGGATCTCCCTGTGTTACCCAGGCTATTCTTGAACTCTCGGCCTCAAAGCAATCCTCCCTGCTCAGCCTCCCAAAGTACTGGGATTCCAGGTGTGAGTCACCACGCCCAGCCGTGTTGCTCTCAAGATTGTCATCTGAATGGAATCACACAGTAGGTAACTTGGCGTAATGCCCTTGTGAATCATCCATTTTTAGTGACTAGATAGCATGATACTTTAATTGGGGTAGGTGTACATCCACTTGTTCAGCCATTCTCTGGCTGGCGAAAATTTAGACTAAAACTGCAGATGCAGTTTTGGGCAATTATGAATAAAACTGCTGTGAGTATTTGGGTAAAAGTTTTTCTGGAAATGTAAGTTTTCATTTCTCTTGGGTAAATAAAGAGAGACTGCTGGGTCATATCTCGGTATATGTTTACCAGGAACTGCCAAACTATTTTCAAAGTGAGTATAGTATTTGTGTCTGCACCAAAAATGTATAAGTGTTCCAATTGCTCTACATCTTGCCCCACACTTGCTGTTGTTGGTCTTTTTCATTTCTGCCCCATATTGTGGGGCAGCTTCTAATATTGTGTGGTATCTCGTTCTGATTTTAATTTGCATTTCCTTCATGGCTAATAATGTTGAGCACTTCTTCATGTGCTTATTTGCTGTGCATATACAGTGTTTTGTAAAGTGTCTATTCAAATAATGTGCCCATCTTTTTTTTTTTTCTTATCATTGAGTTCTGAGAGTTATGTATATGTTCTGAATATCAATCCTTTAGTAGAGATATGTTTTGCAAGTATTTTCTCCCATTCTTTTCATTTTTTATATGGTGCCTTTCAAACAGCAGAAGTTTTTTGTTTTGTGAGTTAAATTATCAATTTGTCCTTTCCTGGATTGTTTTTTGTGTCCTGTCTAAGAAATTCTTGCCTAGACCAACTGCAGTGACTTTCTTTTATGTTTTCTTCCAGAAGTTGTATAGTTTTGGCTCTTAGAGATATAATTCAATTGTAATTCATTTTTGTAGACCATGTGAAACAAGGGTGAAGGTTCTTTTTTGTGGCATATGGATGTCTGCTTGTCCCACTGGGTGATTTGAAGTCATTAGGTGATCCCAGTTTTGTTTTAGAAGCTCCATCCAGCTACAGTGGAGCCAACAGACCATTTAGGAGACTGGTAGGTGAGGATGATGTTGGGCTGTGACAGAGGGGATGGACGATAATGAACAGATTGGGGTGAGTGTAGGACATATATACCACAGCAAATCTCTGCCCTTCTGGTGACCCTGGGCTTAGATGAGACTGTGGCAGTGAGCATAGTGCCTGGCACAGAGGGAGGGAGGCACAGCGCAGGGAGAGCACATGGCCATGTTGCTGCTGGAAGATCCCATCATGTAGCAAGCTCAGCGCCCTCCCCCGGGGAACTCTTTCTGAGACGTCTCCATCTTAGTTGAAACAACACTGCACCCATTAGGATGCTTTGGGCTGCAGGGAACAGAGCAGAGCTTACCAGCCTTGTCCAGGACTTCTGTCCACATCATTCTCAGGGCCGTGGCTTTTCCTAATGCTTGCCCCGGTAGTGTCAAGATCACAATGCAGATGCAGTTCCAGGCATCAGTTCCCCTGATAACTGTGTCCAGGGGCACAAAGGGGACATTCTCCTCCCTTGCCTCATGCCAGAATCCACTAGGAGATTTCTTGTCACATTTCGGGATCTAGAACATGGTCTCAGGCCAGTGCCCCAGCAGGAAGGAAGGTGAAAATGTGAGCATCACGCATCTTTAACTTCCATATTGTGGGGGCAGCTTCTACCAGCAAGAAAGAAGGATCCGGGATGGGGGTGGCTGGTAAATGGACCACCAAAAGGACATGGCCAATAGCAGATGGCCTTTTTGGCAATGAAGAGCTGAGAGCCTCTCTAGTTTAGAAGGAGCTTCCTAAATAAATGCAACATGGGAATTAGGATCCTAGGAATGACGTGCAATTCTAAATCCCTAGGCATCCAAACCTAGTTATATCTCTAAAACATGAGCTCCTTTCCAGCCACTTTAAAAAAAAAAAAAAAAAAAAAGTTATTTCAGCATCTTAACCCCATTAGAAGTTAATTAACCATGAGTGTAGCACAAACTTTACTTAATAAAATATATCTCCATCCCAATACACTTCATGATTTTAATAACCAAAGTTCCAGAGCTAGTAGGAGAGTCCAAAATAAGAACAAAAATTTTTAATTGGTAAAAATTATTTAGAGCTACTGGGGATTTAGTATTAGCATAACCTGCACGGTGTGCGAGGGCAAGTGAATGTATGTTTTTGAGACAGCACCTTACAGTTAATGTGTAAGATGTTAAAGCCAGAAGCTGCTTCAGTTAGTCAGCATACATTCTTTAAGAGGATTAATCTGCCTGCATGAGGTACGAGACTACACAGAAAATAGAACAGCTAATCCTGGAGATGAACCTGATAAAGAGATCCCACAATTGGTACTTACAGCAGTGAGGAACCCTATCCAGGTGGAGGGCGATCACGCGAGTGTTTGCATTCACTTTGGGCTTGTACTTGTGTTAGCCAAGTCTGGATGTTCATTTGCACAGGGGAGAACTATATTTTACAATAATTTGCAGAGAGTCCTTCTCATTCATTTATATGTAAATGTAGCCCAGGGTCATTTTTTAGGACTCATCAGATTTAAAGATCGAGTGACTGTATGTGACAGATTTTTCCAGGAGAAACTCAGTATTTTTTCTTCTCCTTCCCTTAGTTATTATCTTCTCCTCTTTCTTCTCCTCCCTCTTCATTCTCAAAACAAGCACCATCTCTAAGTGCCTACTTCAGCATAAACAGGTGATATATGTTTATGTGTACCTTACATTAGATACTGTACCAGGCACTTTATATACATATTTCAGTTAATCCTTATAATAAATTTGAGGCAAATATTGTTTTCTCAGTTTTATAGTCGAGGAAGCAGACTCAGGGAAGCTACATGGCTTCTCAAGGTCACTTAACAAATCAAAGGCAGGGCTGGCATTTGAAGCCCCCTTTGTCTGACTCCCAGTCCCTTCTACCTTCTTCCCACTATTCCTGGCTGTCTCTACTGTCATTTCTTGTCATTTGATTATTTTTCATATAACCAGTTATTTAAATGTATGACCTAATGGGATGTCTTTTGTGCAAAAGTCTGCAATTAGATTTCAGTATCATAAAGTTCTTCCTCTTTAGGAAAGGTGTTCTTGTTTATTTTTGGATCCTAAAATGTGATCTCATTTCTATTTAAGCGTGTGTCCCTGAATCCAAGGTGGAGGAAGGGGAGGGTCATGGGAGGAAGATATTAAAGTCTTTTATTTATTCAAGTTAGGGATTTTAACCTCACACCTACCCACCCCTCCTTACCCTCCTACTGTTAGGGAGTTTGACTGACTTGGCTCTGATGCTAGCTTGGGAATTCTGACCTCCTGGAGACCAGAGACACAGGATGGGTATGGCACCATGACAGATGGCTGCAGAAATGGGTGGTGTGAAGAGCCAACCCTAGAGTGGGTGGAGCTGGGTCAGTGACGATACAGTCAGGCAAAATATCCAAAAAGTGCAAAAGAGGTAGATGTCCTACAGGTGAGTGACCCTCATGGTGATGAGACACCTGGTGGACAGAAGGAGCTAGCAAGGTCTGCTCATAGATGGAAGTCCAATGGCAGATACTCAGTCCCTGGGAAAGAACAAGATAGGGCTTCCATCCAGCAGGAAGTGAGTTAGGAGATCAAGACTATTGACAGTAAAAGGTGGCACCCCACTGCTAGAACTAGGAAACAAGTCTGTAGAGGACCTGAGTCCCCAATCACCCCTGTGACACTCCTTCAGTATTCCTTCAGGAGAGGAATGCCAGTGTCTACAGGGAGTCTTTGAAGGAGGAGAGGAGGAATAAGGGGGAAGGAAGTAATGCAACTCAGAAAGCCTGTACTAGGCCAGGTGTGGTGGCTCACGCCTGTAATCCCAGCATTTGAGGAGGCTGAGGTGGGTGGATCATTTGAGATCAGGAGTTCAAGATCAGCCAGGCCAACATGGCAAAATCCTGTCTCTGCTAAAAATACAAAAATTAGCTGGGCACGGTGGCAGGCGCCTGTAATCCCAGCTACGCGGGAGGCTGAGACACAAGAATTGCTTGAACCCAGGAGGCAGAGGCTGCAGTGAGCCGAGATAGCACCACTGCACTCCAGCCTGGGCAACAGAGTGAGAGTCCATCTCAAAAAGAAAAGAGAAGGGGAGGGGAGGGCAGGGGAGGGGGAGGGGGAGGGGAGGGGAGGGGAGCCTGTCCTAAAGACCATCAGTGACAACTCATTCAGTTAACAGACACCGATTAAATGCCGACTACCTGCAGCGTTGCAGGTGGGTGCAGAGCAGTCCAGAGGCAGTCAAGATGTTGGCATTGACGACCTTACAAACGTTTCTGCAACAGGACACTGAGAGGCTGAGACAGACTCTTTGGGGGGCTATACGATGATGAAGGCAGATGTATTCCAGAAAGAGTCTTCCCAGGGAGGGATGCGCAGACTTTCCAAACTGCCCAGGGGCCCTAAGTGTCTGAGTCATCAAGAGTCCAGGGTCCCAGCTGGGGCTCTGAGAGACTGGTCGGTGAGGACAGCAGTTAGCAGCTGCTCTGTCTCTCAGAGCCTCCATGTCTGCATGTCTCAAAAACTCCATGAGGACTCTTTGTATAGAGGCCATCACCCGTGGAGGAAGTTCGTCACGATGCCCTAGTAGAGCATTCGGTTGGGGGCTCCACATTCATTCAGTTCTAGTTAAGAACATATGTTTTGGAACCAGGAATTTGACCTGGGTTCAAATTCTAACTTTGCTTCTTGTTAGTTGTGGCACTGTGGATAAATTACACAGACTCTGTAACTCAACTTCCTCAGCTATAGTCAGGATGATAATTCTTACCTAATAGTGTTGTTTTAGTGGATTTTTATATCTTACTTTTGTCCGTAATGAGTTAAAATTTAATGCAACATAATAAACCACCCCAAATAGAGTGGCATAAAACAAACACCATTTTATTTTGTTTGCACAACTGTGAGTCAGTGAGTCAGGCATGGCACAGTGAGAACAGCCAGCTTGCCTCATCTCTACCATGCCTGGCAATCAGAGTCATCTGTCCCCGTGTCCCAGAGATAT